AGCTTTTGGGAGCCGGGTGTGGAGGGAGAGGGATGGGGGCTGGGAAGAGGGGGTCGGGGTGGGTCGGGGCGCCCGTGGGTGGCCATCCGAGTGACCCCGCCCCCCTGTGTCCCCAGACGGCGTCCACAGCGTCACGGCGCTCTGCACCCTGCGGGTCACCATCATCACCGACGACATGCTGACCAACAGCATCACCGTGCGCCTGGAGAACATGTCGCAGGAGAGGTTCCTGTCCCCGCTGCTGTCCCTCTTCGTGGAGGGGGTGGCCACGGTGCTGTCCACCAGCAAGGACGACGTCTTCGTCTTCAACATCCAGAACGACACGGACGTCAGCGCCAGCATCCTGAACGTGAGCTTCTCGGCGCTGCTGCCCGGCGCGCGGGGCCGGTTCTTCGCGTCGGAGGACCTGCAGGAGCACATCTACCTGAACCGGACGCTGCTGACGGCCGTGTCCGCGCAGCGCGTGCTGCCCTTCGACGACAACATCTGCCTGCGGGAGCCGTGCGAGAACTACATGAAGTGCGTGTCGGTGCTGCGCTTCGACTCCTCCGCGCCCTTCCTCAGCTCCGGCGCCGTGCTCTTCCGGCCCATCCACCCCGTGCACGGCCTGCGCTGCCGCTGCCCGCCCGGCTTCACGGGCGACTACTGCGAGACCGAGATCGACCTCTGCTACTCCGGCCCGTGCGGCGCCCACGGCCGCTGCCGCAGCCGCGAGGGCGGCTACACCTGCGAGTGTGCGCAGGGCTTCACCGGTAGGTGGGGGGCCCGGGGGGCCCCGGGCGGGAGCGGGGACTCTGCTCACACTCACGTCGGGGCGTTCCCGGGGCCGTCCTCTGCCCACGTCCCTCCTGGGGAAACGGTCCAAGGACAGATGGGCCGTCGGGCCCGTGCACCGGGCCCTCGCAGGGGTTTGGGGCGTGGCGTGTCCTCGGCCGGTGGCGGGCGGGGACAGTGGTTCCTCACAGCAGCTCCGAGGTCCCTACCGAGCGACGTAGCACCCTCCTTGTGAGGACAGTAGGAGGGAGGAGGTGCAGCGTGAGGTTCACCCAAACACACGTACGTGCGTGAAACGACGCGCTCTCCTTTCAAGTGGCTTTGGGTTGAAAGCGCTTCGTTCCAAATTTCAAGCTTAATCGGTTATCGAAAGCGGTGTGGCTAGGACGGGAATCGTGAGCTGTTAACCACTTGGGTCTGGAAGGAGGGGTGCTTTCACGCCTCACGGTCACCGTGGAAATGACTCATCTTCCCCGCCTGGGACGTCCGCTTACCTGGAGATGTCCTGGCTAATTAAAGGCGACCGCTCCAGAGGCAGCCCACGGCTGTTCGTAAACATGAAAAGCCGTCCGAGAGCAGCACAGAAGCGCAGGTTATGGCTCTGGGCTTTGATCGCCTGGCACGTAAAACGATGGCCCACCTGCAAAACAGGTCTTCGTGGCCCGACTGTGAACAGGCTGGCTTCCTGGAGAGCCGTCTGGGGGTCGGGCAGGCCGGGGGTCGGACGGGCCGGGGGTCGGGCGGGCTGGGTTCACACCGGAGGCAGCGTCCAGATGCCTCCATCGGCTGTGTCCTCTGCTACCGTGTTTGGTATAAACAGCTGAGAAATCGTTACCTGTGAGTGTGGGGCACAGCGCGCCGTTCATCAAGCTTAGGACGGGTTTACAGTATTAGCAGGTATTTCTCAAGCAGGAAGAGGGAGGAAAGCTGGGCGGGGCACGGAGAGAGGAAGGTGGCTGTGCACAGGCCTTTGCATCCGATGAGGAGGAACCGCCAGAGAGGGCGTTTGGCAGCCTGGGGAGACGGGTGTGCGCCCCAGCTTGCTGCGTCTGAACCCCAGCCCGGTTATAATCCGGTGGCGCAGCCGTGAAGCGAGAAAGGCACTTGCCTGTCTACCCAGTGTCCTCCCCTCCCCTGCCTGTCGGTGGCTGTCTGTTTGTCCTTGCCGTCGGGATCTGGAGGTGTCTCCTCGACTGTCTCGCGGATTGTTAATCCTCCGTTCCTGGCTACACTGGGGCTCGGTGGCGAGCAGAGAGGAAGGCGGAGGGGACCCCCAGGCCCCTCATCCCTGCCCTGCTGTCGGGTGGGAGCCCCGAGGAGACCTGGACCGGCCCCCTTCTGAGTTTCAGTGAAGCCATGCTCCGAGGAGGTCACGTCGCGGGTGGATGTCCAACCCCTTCCTCTCCTTCCCTCTTCGTGGCATGGAGCTGGCCCCAGCCCCTTCTGAAAAGCCGTGGCCCCAGGCCCCCGGGAACGGGCCCGCTGCCCTCCAGGAGTCACGCAGTGTATCTTTCACTTGCTCCACAAGTACTGAGTGCCTGCTGTGCGCCCAGCCAGCGGGCCGCCCGAGGTTACCCATGCGATTGTCCGCTCGCGGCTTGAGACGTGTCGATGGGAACCTGGTCGGGGAGACCCCTCCAGCACCCCTCACGCTCTGGCGGAAGCCTCCGCTGGGGTCTAAGGCCGTGGAGGCGTCGACAGCCTGGGGCCGCGTCTGGGCAGGGCAGGCCGAGGCCGCTCGGGCCCCGGGCCCCTGGACCCTCTCCAGAGAGGGCTTGACCTGTTGAGACTTTGAAAACATCTCAAATTTTGTTTTCATCACGAGTCATTTCTAGAAAAATAATGACCAGAGAATGGCCCAGTGTGTGTCATCGCCAGAAGATGCACTGAAATGTCACGGTTGACCCGGGGGCTGATTTGAACGTCTGTGGTACTAAAATTATCATGTGTATTTCCCTCGGAGACAGACTGACGCGGACCGATTATTTTTACCCGTCCGCCTTCCTCTCCTCCTTCCTTGTTCCTTTTGAAGCCTCGCTCTCCGGCATGGCGAGAATGGAGCTCATTTATTCGTGGTGACAGCAGCTCTGTCGTCACGTGGGTTTGGTTACTTGCTCCCTGGTAAGCCGAGCCCGGGCCTGCGCTTGGGAAGTTGGAGGTGCCCCAAGGCGCGCGGGGACCCGGGCTTCCTGTGCTGCGGATGGGGGACGAGCCGGCTGGAGGAAGGTGTCAGCTCATTTTAGGAGGAGCTCGAGGAATTGGATGCTGGAAGAACACTCCTGACGGCCTTCCTGTAACCTCCGCGTCCAGGCCCCAGGGGACGCGAGTGCCCGTCACTGCGGGCAGAAAGCCACCGCCCTGTCGCCGTGTGTGTGTGTTAGCGAGGGGGCACGCGGCCGCGTGGGGGCCTGTGGCTGATGCCCCTCTGAAGGGAACGGGGACAGGGAGGCTGACGCGCCCACGTGTGCATGTGAACCGGACGCCGTCTGGTCCCTTCCAGTCAGGCGTGTGACACACACGCTGTTTCCTTGGTCTCAACCCTTGGTCTTTCGGTTTGTAAATGACGCGGTTTTGGTTTCCGTCACAGTCCCCAAACGTGGCCCCCTTCCTCCGTCCCCTTGTTTCCGCACCGGCCGCGCCTCTGTCAGCGCTGTCCCCTGCCCTGGGAAGGTTCCAGAAGGTGCCCTGACTTCCTCAGGTGGTGTCCATGGATCTCCCCGGAGGCTTCCTCGCTGCCCTTTCTCTCTCCTTGGGCGACTCGCTTATGTCCACGTCCCTCAGGCCTGCAGCGGCTCACGGTTCATGTTTATCGGGCACTTCAGCGGGTTGGTTACTGTTCTGGAAGGTTCTACACGGGCTGTCTCACTGATCCTCACAGTGGCTCTGTGGCCCCGTTTCATACATGGGGAGACTGAGGTAGGGGACACTGAAGTATCCGGGCCAGCGGTTCTCGTTGGGGTGAGTCTGTCCCCATGCCTTCTGACACCATCTGAGGACAGGTTTGGTCGTCACAGCAGGGGGCGGGGTGCTAGCTGGTGAGGCCACGGGTGCCGCTCAGCATCCTACAGTGCCCGGGGTGGCCCACACAGGCGGTCCCGCCCCCCACGTCCTGGGGGAGGGGACACCGTGCCACAGGCCAGCTGTGAAGGCCAAGTCGGGATCTGAACTCAGCATCTGGCTTCTGGGCTCAGGCTTGTCCGCAAGGCACACTCCTCCGGGGGGAGCAGCTCGGTCCAGCCGTCCAGCCGTCCTCCCGGTCCGTTCGTTCATCACACAGTCCTTTGCGGGGCGCAGAGGTCCAAACTGCGGTGTGGTGGGAGCGACGTTCACATGGCGCGGGGAGGTGCGGTCCGCCAGCGCCTCCCGCTCCCGAGCTCTCGTCGAGTTGAATTTAGCCCCTAAACAGGAGAGTAACGTACCGTTCAAAGGAGAGTCATCGCCTAGCCTGTAGCTAAAGTCTCAGACGCAGCAGGGACGGAATCCTTTCCTAGGAAAGTTCGCCCTTCAGACGTCCAGGATGCTTCGAAGTTCCCGCTCCTTAGCACCGCTCCGATCGTTCTGCGGTCTCTCCTGGGCGACTCTGTTTCCGGCGCCGTCCCGCGCTGAGGGTGCGCTGTGGATGGATTTCACCAGCAGCCTCCTGTTCTCGTGCAGCTCCAGGGCTTCCGAAGAGCAGAGTCGGTGTGCCCCTCCCCGGACAGAGCAGGCTGTTGGGGACGGGGACTGTCCCCAAGCCCACCCTGCGTTCCTCCCTGGGGCTCTGTTAGCCTTCTGGGGCCACTGCGAGGAAGAACCACAGACTGGGCGCTTAAAACGACGGAAACGTGTTCTTTCCCAGCTTTGGAGGCTAGAAGCTTAAAACCAAGGTGTCCTTTGGCCCTCACTCCCTCTGGAGGCTCGAGGGGACCGTCCTTCCTGCCTCGTCGTGGCTTCTGGAGGTGCCGGGTGATCCTTGGCTTGTGGCCGCATCACTCCGGTGCCCGCCCGTCTCCAGATAAAGTCGTGTTTACGGTACTGGGGCTCAGGGCTTGAACATATGATTTTGAGGGGCACGATCGTACCCTCCTCGAGGCTCTGGTGCACAGCGGCTACTTCTTGTCAACCTGTTTGTCCAGCATCTGCTGGGGCCGGAGGACGCTCCTGGGCGGGCGAGTTTTCTGTGGTTGGTTTTCCTTTTAAAGATCCAAGCAAGAACATGAAAGTCCCTACGTGCCACCCGGCCAGCTGCCAGGGGTCGACGAGCTGGGCATGCAGGGAATGACAACGGACACCGGAACCTCTGACCTCGGCCAGTCAGTTGGCCTGAAGACGAGCCTCGTGTGGTCAGAGCCTCCCTGTGACGTCGGAGGGGAGACGAGGCTCCCCGGCCAGGTCCTGCCACGGTTCCCCCACCGCCGGTCACCGAGCATCCGGTGCGGTGTGCAGCTGCTGCTGCAGAAAGAGCCAGAACACAGGCTCCACGAGGCAGGGCCGAGAGCGGGGACGGGCTTGCCTGCGCGCTCCTCACCTGGCGTCCTGCCGCTGCTGTGACCAAGGCCCGCAAAGCGGTGGCTCAGACAGAACACACGCACTCTCTCGCAGCTGCCCCCGGAGGCTCTGGGCGGGGGGCAGGCACACTGCTTCCCAGCTTCTGGAGGCCGCCCGCCCGCCTCGGCCGCACCCCGGCCCACTCCGCCCGCTGCTCCCGTCACAGGGCCTGCTCCTGGCTCTCGCCGCCTCCCCGCCTCCTGAGGGCCCTTGTCACCCACAATCACCTCCCCATCTCAAGATCCCTAACCAACTCACACCTGAGAAGCCCCTTCTGGTGTCCCGGGTCCTCTGTTCTTCTGCAGTGTGAAGTCACCTGTCCCCAGGCAGCAGGACCATGGACCTCTCGGGGGCCCTGTCATTCTGCCGACCACACCCCTGGCTCCCACCAGGCCTGGCACCCGCTCGGCACTCAGTGAACGTTCGCGGCGGGAGTGAGTGAGCGAGGCCT